GTCGCCGCGTTAAAGGAAGCGATTACGATAAGGAATTTTCGCATCGGGGAGAACCTGCGCCACACGGAGCAATTACTTGGCTGCCAAGGAAGCGATGTGTGGCCTCCCACGGCGAAAGGTGCTGTGGTTGCTGAGCAGGACCCGCGTGACGCCCCGCCCCCAGTGACGTGACGCCCACTGATTCACCGGTGGCTTGGGCGAGCTGCGTTGCCAGCCGCGGCGCGGTTAGGGCGCCATGCCTGCTGTTTGCTGTGCCAGCACGCGTTGCGTAATCTCGTCCACGCGTGCGCGGTCTTCGCCGCAGTCCATCTGAGAGCCGCAATCAACGGCTACAAAAGGGGGTCCCATTTCTCGTTTCCTGAACGGATTTCGCTGCTTCTTTCGCCACTGACGTACCATTGAGGACCCCCTCGTCCCCTCTGAAACCCCATTTAAACCTAGCGTAACCGCTGCCTTTAAGCCTAATTCTAACAGCACTCGCACAAAGTTCAAGATCAACTGGTATATCTGAGCTTGAGAAAAAAATAGTGTCTCATACTTCCGGTGCGTGACACGCATTTCCTTACCCTTATAAACGAAAAGTTGACTACTATAGAGAGGAATCTAGTAATGCACTAATAATTTAATACCGCAGCTATCCTTATGATTGTCCTAAACGAGTCACTAACTGACGAGATTACGGCAAGGTATGCATTGCTCTCCTGACGAGACCACTCCCTCCTGCTCCATCCCCGCCCTGTTGTGATCTACACAGACACACACATGCTCTTGTTGACGTAATTCTCTTACATTTGTAGAAACGATTAATAGTAGTTTCACATCAGAGATGATAAACAATTATCTGGTCTAAGGAAGTTGATTGGTAATACTTATCGATTGATTAATTTTTCAAACTAGCGTGAAAATAAAATATATTCTCCAGCAAGGACTGTAAAAATGACAGTAACACAATAATCGATCTGAGCTTGAATTTCCTAGACTACCTCTGAAGAACAACTAAGACTGCTCCAAAGGGTGCCGGATGAGCTGTAAGCCAAGAAGTTCGCAATAGGTTTCGTGAATCAATGGAGCGGTTTGTATAATACATAGCACCTATTTTTGTAAAGAGGGTCTCGAATTTCAATATCAGGCAGGGGTTCACAGTAGAATGATCAAGCAATCACTTCACACGAGAACAGGGTCTTGTTGATACGAACTAGTTGTTTAGTGGGTTGTGATGATGATTGTTATCGATTCATCTTTTTTACTATTTGTCTCCTGTTTTCAGAAAAAAAGAAGCGTGTCGAGTGCAGACCACACACCACAAGTGACGACGGCCTCCACAAAATGTAAATGTTTTCTGCCAATGAAATGATTAGCCTGTTGCAGTTGTATTCTATCAGTTGTCACTAATTACAACTATCATTTACCAGCTATCACCACCATCTACCAGATTTACTTTGAGGCCGTTGTCACCTGTGGTGACGCTGGTTTTCTGAAGCGGATGGTACATCCTTTTCCAAAGTAAAAAGTAGATAGCAGGATAGCGAACTTTCTGGTTATATTACAAGAACT